ACTTTTTAAAATTAGATGTTAGAAATATGTATTTTAAAATTCATCTGAATGCAACTGGGCACAGCATTAAACAGCTTTTTAAGCAGAGAACAGACATTCTTTTTAGAAAGTGGTAATTATGTTCAACAGTAGCAGTTCAAAGCAGATTATCCCAGTCTTTCTTTTCTATTTGTTAACTACAGTACCACTTGGAGAAAATGAATTTTCGTCTTGCTCAACTCTGTATAGGTGAGAATTGGGCCTATACAATTTCAAGCATGTTCACCAAGGTATGAGCAACTATTAAAAAGCAAGGGCAGAGGCAAAAAATATCAACAGGAAAAGATGAAAAGAAAATTCTCCAATAAAATGGAGGGAAAATAGTTTAGCTTTCACTGTGTTTACAGCTCAGTACACTGCAGTCTAGAGTAGAGCCATTTGTCACTAGTTCCATTTGGTATTATGTCCTGCTTTAAGTATTAGTGTATTGACTGACCTTTCTCCTTTGAGTTCAGACAGACCTAACTCCCAGGGTGCTATGGGAGATTCCCTCTACTCTTCCTCCCCTCTTGGCACTCTGTTGCAGACCTACTCTGTATAACCAAGTAGTATAAACTTACTTTTTGGACATCCAGAAGAAAAATTCACAAACAGCTTTTCCTTGCCTTTTGTTGACTATAAAATAAACTAGTACAGAGATGTTGCTTTATTGACAATGTTTGTTACCAGTTATTTATTCAACCCTCTTCGATGCATATTTATTGAATATCTTTTCTGTCTTTCCTTGGTTTGGTAACTCATTCCCTTATTCTCTGTAGAGGCTTAAGCTAACAGAGAAGGAGAAAGAAAGGGAACTACCACTCATCGAGCCTACCATACACTTATCTTTGACTTAAATGATCTGATTTAATTGTCACAACCATGGGGGGTAGATGATGTTATTCCTTTTTTCTAAATGTAGAATCTGAGAATGATTTTCCCGAAGTCATCCATCTAAGAAGTTGCAGATCAGAATTTAAACTCAGATCTGTCTGATGCCAAAGCCTAAGGTTTTTCTGTCAAACACATAAGACCCACACTTGCCTGTCCCTTACCTATTTCAAGGCTGCAAGGGTGCTTGTATTTGGATATAAGAAGCAGCTCTGAGATCTTATGTAAGTTTGTGTATATGAGCTCTTTTATCTTATTAATTAAGCAAGTGAATTTCTTGGTTTTCATAGTGTAATGGATATATTGATTTCACTTAGTTTTATAAATCACTTTAAAGAAATCTGACTTTTCCATATCAAAACAAGATTATATACATTTGTATAATTATTTTTGAAAAATTAACCTAAAGATGAGCTTTAAAAATTCATCATTTCATATTGTCTTTTTATTGATACAGTGTCATGTTTTATTTTGCTTTCCCATTGGGTTTACCAAGGGAACAGGAACTTTATTATGAACTACCTAATATCTAACAGACTGCCTTGTTGTCTTGTTAAATATTTGTTGAATAAATGGCAATCTGTAAGTAATAAACTCTTATAAGGAAGGATTCTTTCTTTCCACTTACATTTGGCATTACTCTTTTATTCTTACGTAGAATAGACACATTCATTCCCCACTCTGCTCAGAGATTTTCTGTTCTCTTTCTCTGCTTCTAATTCCACAAAGTACAACAACATATGCTATTCAGATTGAGCAGAAGGAGAAGTCTCTGGCGTTCTGTGGTGTGATGCTATTCTTTATGTAACTTCCTAAGAGAGGGTCATGATTCTGAGGAGGGTAGTGCTTCAGTTCCCTTAATAAAAACAATGCAATTTTTCTAAAAAATAACCATTATAATTCTAAAATGGAAATTCTTTTTCATGTCCTTTGAAGTTAAGTTTTAATCAAACCATGTTATGAGTTATTTTAGTTTTCTGATCATCTCCCTTAAGAGTAGAAGTTTGACTGGACTGGAAGACTAAAGTTGAAGTATAGGCTGAGGAGAAATTGGAAATCATGGATAGTATCTCTTGAAGTCACTGAGCTGAGAAAGAGAAAAGGACAAGCTTGCTTTTAATCCTTTTTACCCAAGACCCTAGAGGTAGTCAAAAAATCCTCTCCTTGAATGGATTAGCAATAGCTCCATTGTAACTTACTAGGAAGTCTAACCATAGGCTCTGTCTGCTGTTTCAAACTAGCCATTTCCTGCACAGGTGAGGCCAGTTCTACCATCTCTCCTTCAGACCCTGTGCTCTCCATGCTTCTCAGATTTCAGAAGACAATTAAGTGAAAAATGCCTGACATTGTTACTTCTTGTTGTGTGCCAGAGTTGAGTCAGACTTACATCAACTCTATAGACAGAGTAGAACTACCCCATAGGGTTTCCAAGGCTGTAATCTTTCTGGGAGCAGATGGCCCAGTCTTTTCTCCTGTGGAGCTTCTGGTAGAGTCGAACTACCGAGCTTTCGGTTAGTAGCCAAGCGCTTAGCCATTGCACCACCAGGGCTCCTTGACACCATTGCTCAGTTTTTATTTTAAGTACCATACCCATTGTGGAAATTTCCATAGTAAAATCATAAGCCCTGGCTAGAGGAAAATGGTCTAACCCCTAATTGAAATGCTTCAGAATATAAAGGAACTTGGTCAGCAGTGCTCTGTGTGTTTATTATTGTATGAACCTTAGAAAAATCATTATAATGTTGCTTTCCACATTTATTTGTAGGTAACAGATAATATATGTTAGCAAAGAAGAATATAATTAAAGTAGTATATTAAACTGAAAAAACTTGTGTTTACCTTTGGTGTAGAAATTTTACCTTTCTAATTTTTTTATACTTATAATGAAAATATACTTGGGAGAAATATGTCTTTAACACTGGATGAAAATCAAGAATGGGAAAGTAGAATTATATGGATAATTCAAAATCTGATTGCTTTTGAAGAACTAAAAATGCATAAATTATATTTTAGAAGAAGTACCAGCATGGATAGTTTGTTAAATTCTAGATTAAATAACTATTAAGGTCTAATTTGAATCACAGAAACAGAAGTAACTCAGACCATTATTTTTTTTTAAATGTTTCCTTTTTTAAAGGATACATTCAAAAATGAAATCTTAAGAAATTTTTCAACTCCTGTCCTTTGTAATATAACCTATACCAGAGTACTAAATGGAGCCCTGGTGACACACAGTGGTTAAAAGCTCGTCTGTTAACCCAAAGGTTAGCAGTTCGAATCCACCAGCCACTTCTTAGAAACCCTATGGGACAGTTCTACTCTGGTCCTGTTGAAACCAGACCAGTGGGTCCTTGCCCAGCATGCAAGGAGCCAATCTCTCAGATGCTGATTTTGAGAGGAAGAAAGAGTTTATTTTGCAAGCTAGCAAGCGGGAACTCAGGTATCAACCTCAGATTGAGTTCCTCAATTTGAGCAAGCATTTATATTTTATAGGTTTGGGGAATTATACATATTCATATAGGGGTGGAGGAAGGCAGGTGAGCAGGATCAGGAAGTTCTACATATTCATAGTTTCTATTGATTATTTATTATGGAGTGGTACTAAGACTTGGCACGGAAGTGGCTGACTGAGTCTTCCTTTTGAAATGGGCTTGGCTGCTGCAGATGACGTATGGTCAGTGATTTTGGTTCTTTGACAGGAGTGTTTTTGTTCCTTGGCATGAGTTCTCTTGTGTTATTGAGTACACATGGTAGCCCAGGGTCATCTGTCGATCATCTTTGTCTGTTTTACGCATGTCTGGCCATTCTGAGCCAGTTAGGTCTGGATCAGGCCGGGGCTCTCCAGACAGTCTGCAAAACAACTTAGAGGAAGTGAGTGACATGGTGGGGAGGTGTCTAGGAGTGGCCTGATAACTGGTGGAGTACTAATTAATTAGGTGTCCTTCACCTCTAGGGTCCCCTAACACTATAGGGTCACTGTGAGTCTTTATAGACTCAACGGCAACAGGTTTTTAGAGTAATATTGGTTTATAACAAGCTTGCAATCATATTTAAATACTTTGCTTAAAAAGTTATTATTTTAGTTCACCCCTGTTCTTTGTATTTTTTAACATGTGGCATATGCATTTCATAAGAATGAAATTGAATGTATCCTTTCTGGTTTGTTTAGTTTTTTATTAGGCTCAGTTGGGGCTACTTTCAGAAGACCATGACCCTGGCAGCCCTTGGTGCCTTTTGGGATCAACTTTCACTGATTTTAGTGCACTTTCTTGCCCATGTATTCTTGCAAGGACACTGATGTTATTAGTTATACCAACTTTTGCAGGAAGCAAAATACTGAAATTATCATAAAAGTTAACCACTTTTCTCTAGTTTTTAAAGCATGTCACCAAAACATGACCAAAAACTGAGAACAGAATTTCTAGACCCCGATAGTTTATGACTTATGTGGCCTATATTTTGCAAACATTTCTCACTCAGACTTAACAAGCAGACACAGAAGAATGACTATAAAAGGCAAGTCCTTGGCCCATGGCCAGAAATAGCAAAAGTGTGTTTCTGTGCCATACTGACCTGTATGGCTCAGGTTTTGGAATCAGCTCTGCTTAAATGATTGCTGGCATCATGCTCAGGTGAGCCCTTAATGCAGCTTTCCCGTTAAAAAACATGAATGCTGGGTCTAAAGTACATGGAATATCTTTATCCATCAAGTTGAAGAGAAAATGTCAATGTGGAAGTTTCATGTATCATGGAGTTGACCTATTGAATATAAAATGTTTCTAATAGAACATGAGGTTTATTTTTCCCCTTTTTTTCTACAGGCATGATGAAGTGGCTTAGAAAGATAAATAAAAACAATTTTTTTCCTTCTAGAGTAGGCATGCTTCTGTCTTGTTATCCCTAGTTGTTGCCAGTTCATTCTTTGTGTTCAAAAGTTTAATTTTCTATTTTTCAGATGATTCACAGAGATTAGCCACAGCTGATTTAAACAAACAAAGAAGACACACACAAACCAGTAGTTTTTAATTTTTTCAGAAAGAGTTCACTTGCTTACTTTTCTTAAAAACATCTTTCCCATTTCATTGAGGCAGATTTGGAAGTCAAACCAGAAACTTCAGGCTCTACTACGATGGAAAGCACTTTGTTGGGGAGAAACGCTTTGAGTCCATCCACGATCTGGTGACTGATGGATTGATTACTCTCTATATTGAAACCAAGGCAGCAGAATACATTGCCAAGATGACGATAAACCCAATTTATGAGCACATAGGATACACAACTTTAAACAGAGAGCCAGCATACAAAAAACATGTGCCAGTCCTGAAAGAGACACATGATGAGAAAGATTCTACAGGCCAGGATGGGGTATCAGAGAAAAGGGTAAGCTACCATGAAACCACACTTTATCTTCTTCTGTTTGGGGGTCTTTTTAAGAAAGCCGTGATTGCCAGAAGAGATTGACTTCTCTGTAGTTCTTTAAAGGTTGTGCATTTTTCTTAATGTCTAGTTTTTCTGGTGCTACACTTGCATATATCTAATTCTTCTTCAGTTAAAATACGCCAAGTGCTTTTTTGTACTCCAGATTATTTCCTATTTTGTCAATTTCACAGTTGTAAAAATATGTTGGGAATGGCCCCTACCCCTAGTAAAAAAAGTTCAGGGGTTTTGGTCAGAAGCATAACATATGGTGAAGAAAAGATAGCTACTTTTCTTTAATTATAAAAGGCAATTTAGTTTTTAGTTGTCATGTTTTAATTGTGATGTATTTCAGGTTAACATCAGAAGTTTTAATTCCTTGGCATTAAGATTATTTTACTTTAAAAATTATCCCCAGCCTCCTCCACCCTTACCCCCAAGAAAAAGAGTGAGAGAATTTCCTGATGTTTTATATTGTGTGGTATTCCATTGGGGGAATTTTATGAATTCTATCTGAACTGTGTTAATGCATCTTATATTTTCAACAATCTTCAGTTATTAGGTTAAAAAACTGCAGAATTGTATATTTTTTGAGTTTGGATTCAATTGCCAAATATACGTTTCCAAGTTCTGCCAATTTATCAGCTGAGTGAACTTGGGCAAGTTACTTTTGGTGTGCTTTGATGTCCTTTTTTGTAAAATGGTAGTAACAAAGTTATTGTGAAGATTAAATTACATAGTGTGTGTTAAGCAGTCTTGGCACATAGTAAGCACTCAATATGAGTTTGGTGGTAATGTTAACAGCCATATCACCTCAGAGCATCATCCTAAAATACTTCAGTCATCTTGGAGTATTTAAGTAAAGAATGAAAAGTTAGAATGTTCATTGTCCAACCCAGATTTTAGTTTCTGGCAGGTCTTACTTAGAGCAGCATTTTGTGGCTATGGAAAAATCAACATTTTAAATTACAGACTGTAGAAAATGGTTTTTCATATGCTTAAATTTGTAGGGAGCTACAGATCCTTTTTGGAAGTAGCCAGAGTTTAAAATCCTAAATGCATGCCGTATTTAATGTTGTTCTTTTCACTCTGTAGTTCCCATTTTCTCAACTGTTGTTGATTTTCCATTCATGACACTTTTCAATAAAGCTTGTATTTGAGTATCTAATACTGACATTATATTTTATGGTAGAATATTCTAAGTCAACATTTGTAAAATATTTAAAAATGTGTACGTATGAGTCTTGCCAAATTGATCAACCTGATGATAACCTTTGCTAATGTGTTCTGTATATACTTTTCAACATCAGTAGGACTTGAGCTAAAGACACAACTATTTGACATTGGGCTAGTCATTATTAAACTTCATGGGACCTTTGTTCACAGAGGCAGGAGACTGAGTTAGATAATGTCTTGAGGACTCTCAGCTCTAGTATTCGTGGTTTCCTGTGTATTCTGGCAACGGTACACGTTGCACTACCTGGATTCTCTTGTGCTGATGGCCAGTGATAGCTATGTAGAGTGAAATAGCTGGCATTGGGAAGTATCTTTCTCCAGCAGTACATAATTAAGAATCATTTTCAGAGTTGCTCTTTGCTTTAAATTGCATGCATCTTAAATCTAGTTGACTTAAAATCTACTCACTCAAAAATAGATTTATTTTATTTACAGGTGTCATCCAACAGGACAGGGATGATGACCTGTTCAACAGCTTGAAACATTGATTCCCTGTCACAGTGGATGACATTTGTAAGTAAAGATAATTTTGTTTAATTGATTTAAAATACCTACTGACACAAGTATGATTTAATAAATATTTTACTGCCTCCTGGATAGCTAGAAAACTCTCTTCTGCATAACTCCTTTACCTCAAAGGAAAAAATACTGGCTTTTCAGGAGTTAATATTCTGTTGTGGAAAGGATACTAGTGTTAGAATTAAGAGCTAGATTCCAGTTCTAGTACAGGAATTGATTTTATGTGTTACCTTGGGCAAATTGCTTCACTTTTCTGAGGCTGCATTTTCCCACCTTGAACAGGAGAGCTTTGGACTAGATGATCTCCAAGATGTGGTTCTTATAGTCTGTGATCCTTCAAGGAATATAGGCATTGTAGGAGAGACAGCATAGTACTAGAAAGAGCACTGGCATGGGGTCCTGAAAGGTGAGATCTGTGTTTTAGCTTATCCACCAGCTAACTGTATGACTTTGGGAAAATCATGTAGCCTGTCTAGACTTCAGTTTCTTCATATTATGTGTAGTAGGTTTTCTGTAAAACATTAATTTCACAAGATTTTAATAAGTATTTGCTGCAGAAAGAGTTCTGTGCTCAAATTGGTTTGATAAAAATTAAAAAAAAAAAAAAAAGCCTGTTTCCTTTTTGTAGGCCTTCTCAGCTTTGTTAATGAGCCAATGTGCATTATGACTCCTTAAGAATATTCCCACACTTAACTGAAACTCACTCCCGCCACTTTTAAGAGCAGTTTGGGAAAATAATGTTTCATGAAACCGGCTTTGGAAAATTTTAAACCAAATGATCTCTTACGGTCTTTCTTTGTCCTGAAATTGTAGAATGAGAATTCCAGGTGTTTTTTTTTTTTCCCCCCATTCCTTAGGGCGTAAGTTGTGGATGATCTGAGCTTTTGTGAAAGGTTGGCAGAATGGTTTTATGGCCATGAGGTTGTTTGCCACAGGAAGTGAATCCTGATGATTCTTAATTGTTCCTGGGAAACCCGGAGGCCTGTTGTGAGGGAAATTTTTTCTAACTAATATCTGTCATTTTTCTCATTAACTAAATAAATAAGTAAATAAACAAACAAACACTGAGAGATACTTAACTATGAGCTTGCAGCATGTTGAGAAGCCAGACTACTTCTCTTCGAAAATGACTTGACCTTGGTAGTCCAGACTGGCTAAGAGCCCAACTTCTCATTTATTTATTTACTTTACTTTTATTGTTGTTTCAACTTTTAATAGTTACTTTTTTTTTAAATTATTTATCTTGGACTGTATTTGAATAGTTTCTTGGTCCAAGTAGTGAATATATGTTTACCTCAAGAGATACTTGACCAGTGGCCGAATGCAATAGTTTTTATGATAATTTAGCTTGTTAATAACATGACTTTAAATTCCCAAAAACCATACTTTAGAAAATGTCACATGTAACTGTTAATAATATAAATCCTCAAATAAAATATGTCATTTGTATTTCAAAAACTATGCTATGAGCTAGA